GCACTGTTGCGAACCTTACAGCTAGGAGAATGGGAAATTTTCTAACTTCTTAAACAGCTCTATCTTACCCACCGAGGAAACCCACCCACTTGGACACGTTCTGGGCTGCGCCTCACACGAGGTTACCAGCTGAGGACTATCAGCCAATGCGTCTGACGCAGGGCCAACCGTCTCGTTCACACATTTCCACTTTTCCAAAAATTTCGGGACTCCCTCCCTTAAGGGGGCCTCGAAGCGGGCCATAACACTGCCATAAGTCCTAAAAAGCTCCCCCAATACGGACTCCCTTCTCCTTAGCCCGATCACCATACTCACAATCAGCATCATCATTGATTGACCATTCCACACAACCATGTCCGCCCACTTTTCCTCTCCCTCACCAAAACAGCAGTCGAGCGTGGAGAGGTGTTGGGGTGGGGGAGAGAACCGAAGGGGAGTCAAAAGGGAGATCTAAAGTAAACTGTATCGTGAAACAGTGAATCCACTAAATTCTTTCCCTTCATCTTACCCTCATTTCGCCAAACTCGTCAGAAAACTCAGCAAATACAATCCTTTTCGGATCCTTCACACTTCCTGAGATGTAGTTTACCTTGTCCACAGCCAAAATGCGATCGCTTTCCCAAAATCGCGAATGCGACCCCCTCGTCTGAATAGTGCGAACGGAAGACGGTTGACCCTGGTCTGACGGCGCGTAGCGTGGTGGGCGAGCGACCGCATTTCGCATTTCCTAGCAAAATTGTCATTCGAGAGCTAGGCTGAGAGTTTTCTCCTCATTCCCACGGCGATGCATTCTGAGACTGGTATCCATCTCTGTCATTGCCTCTTGTCCAATGCGCCTCATGGTGTTTCTTACCACGACGATCAATTCTACCCGGTGAGTTCGTAAATGACATTCATCCCTGGTATACCTCGTAAGTGTGCTTGTCCTCTACTTTGCCATAATTCAAAGTTCGTCTCCCAAAATTATCCTCTGCTTTTTCATCTTTACTTCAATTAGCCCTTATCACGACCCTCGGGTAAAGCGCATGGCTCTCAATAGGGAAGGGAGCTGGCCACGGGAGTTGAATTTTCTGAATTTCGTGCACTGGCTCACACTTTCGTACAGTATCTACAGCGCAAAGTACATAACAAAACATTTATTATGAAGAAGTACCGTGCTTCACTCAATGGATTATTACAGTATCCGAAACTGTCTTGGAATGTATGGTCAATCCGACGTTACCGTTACCTTTGTCTTCACATTTGTAATCCTTACCACCTTCTTTTATTTGTTGACCAATAGAAACCTTAAAAACATGTTCTTCAAAGAAGCAACAGCGATATGATCACAAGCGAATGCACCTCGAATCAAGCTTTCCTATATGAGTTTTCTGTAAAACTACATTAAAAGAATTACGTACTGCTGTGCCGCTTGGAGTCATGCATGCAATGACCTCAGCCTTCCACTTTACAGTACCTGGCTTGAGAACAGTGACAGTGCATTTTACC